GGAACAGGTGTTTTTTTCAGAAGGCACGTCTTTTACAAGAAATACATTTTATACCAGCCTCTGAGTTACATTTCTAATGCAGGTAAAGCACATTCCAGTAAAAACAGCAACGTTTCTTGGAAACAAATCTGTTTGGTTTCCTGGTTTTTCGTCTTCAGTTGCCGGGATGACCATTGATGAAATGATGTTTACTGTTTTCTGTTTGGCGTCAGAGTCGCAGTTTACATTTCTCTGTTTGTCATCAGAGTCGCAGTTATCCTTTTTCGGTTTGTTGTCAGATTCGCAGTTGACCTTTTTAGGTTTGTTGTCGGAGTTGCAGTTTACCTCAATGCCCTTTCTTTTCCTTCCAACAGCCGCCTTTACTTTTTCAGCTGGTTTTTTGTTTCCTTTTTTTTCTAAGGATGTTTTCATTTTTAGGTCTCTACTCTCCAACCTTTTTCTTCTCCTTTCTTCTAGTGCTTCATTCTTCTCCCTTTTCTCTTGTATCTTTTTTTTGCATTTCTTTCCATGTCTGTGAAGTTATCACGAAAGGCATCCTTTCAGAATTTGTATTTCCCTTTCTTTCTGGTGTAAGTGGCCAGAAAAGCGTTTCATTCAGAGTACTTTGTTGCAACTGAATGGAAGTTACTTCTTCATGCTTAAAATATCAAACAAACCTTCTTCTTGGACAATTTTTTCTACAGTTATTTGATCAGCATCTTGCACCCCGAAAACAGAAACGTTTCCATCATTTTCGTTTGCCATATTCATGGGTGGATCTACTTTAAATCGATTAAATATTTTTTGGAGGCACTGGAAATATTTGTTGTCATTGATCGAGTTTTGCAACTCGTCAATAACTGCTTCACCCGCAATTTCTTTAAATGCTCTGAAGTCTAATGTCTGGCTACTTTCATTCACGACTTCTCCCATGGCGGCATCATTTCGTTTCCCAAGGCACTTCGAAAAATTGATGGCTTCAACATTCCAAGGAAAAAGTCCACAACTTCTAAAGCCATTTATAATAATGTCAGCATTTATACAATTTTCTATTACAGTCTTTAATATGGGGGCAAAATGCTCTTTTGTTAACGCATCTAATGGGTTTTTGGCCCGCCATTTCTGAACACCCTTAATCCAACCATTCTTTATTGGTTTGAATGCTGCAACATCTGCGGGTTGTAAAATTCGAGTGGAATTTGGATAGAGTGCGATCAGGACTATACCAAGATTAGTGCATAACTCACTTAATTTAAATGTCAAGTGGGTGCCATGTCCATCTACGAAATATATAATAGGGAATTTTGTTCCAATGCGTTTCAGATATGGATTTAGCACGTTCGCCACATATTCAAAAAAGGACTCCGCCTTCATCCATCCATTTTCCGAAAGTCCACATCCCCAGTCACTTGGTAAGCTTTTTGCTATTTCTGCAGAACGCCTTTTGTTGGGATATATGATCATCGGCGGAGTGATATTGCCATTTGCACCAAATGTGAACATTACAGTTAAATTTGCTTTTGCTTGCCCACCATCAATCTCATATACATTGCGTGTGCCTTTGGGTGCAATAACCTTATTTCCTTTTGGACAGAGCATGAAACACGTCTCATCCCCATTGAATACTCTTGCGGGGTCGTTCAGGATATCAAAATAGTTTTCTTCTTTTAAATATGCTTCGATTCCCTCGAACCACTTTCTGATGTCGCTTTCACTTACATTAGCGCTGGCTCTTGTAACGGCCTCTGCAGTCCTTTCAGTGAGTATGGGATGACGACGCAAAAGCCTTAAACCACCCTTCGCCTGGACAATTGTTAGGAAAACAATTTTCCCTGGGAGAGTTGTCCAAAAATTCTTTAACACTGCTCTGAATGTTCTCCTTCCGGCGTGGAAATCCTTTCCTTTGACATGTGATGATCCACTCTACCAACGTTTCTTCCTCTTCTTTAGTTAAAACCGGAGAAGGTCCCATAGTGCTTTTCTTAAAATTCGCGCTCAGTCGAAAGATTAATGTGGTCCGAGGAACACCAAAATGTTTAGCGGCCGCCTTTTTCGGTATGCCATTTCTAACAGCCCGAACTGCATTTTCAACATCCTCTTCTGAGTAGAGTTTAGTGTATGCTTCTCCCTCAATTTTCGCTTTTGGCATTTTTTTCAGCTCTAAACGTTTAAAAGTACAAATCAAAATAATAACAATTTCATTCTGTATAATGATGGACACCTTGCCGCATCTAGTTATTGACACCATGTCAACAACTGTCTGCAGGGTTCCAACTTCACTATTATTTACACAGAATTTAAATTTCGATATTAGTCTTGCAGAACGCTTTCATAAAGCTTAAATTTCAATGAGGCTCCAATTTACAGTGATTGACACTCCTATGTCAATCAGTATTTTTACTTGCAATTATCGTGACAGTTATCGATACCCCAATATTATTGACTCACATAAGTTTTCAAGCCCTAACCGAAGAACAATTACAAGTAATGGTTCCTTATCAAGACAACATTCCTAGTTTGACATTAAGTAAGTGACGTAGTAATAGTGTATAATTTCAAACACTTACCTCTACTGCAATGGCGCAGGTAACAAACAGGACTACAAACTGTCACTGGCGGACCGCAGTGAATTCAGTCTGAAGTTTGACCGCAATTTTGCCAACAGAGACAACTGAAACTTCTCGGAATAATTCTAGGGATATCAACAAAGAAGATACTGCCAATGTAAGAGTTCCTAATATTTTAAAATGCTTAATATTTCGGTTTTTACGTTGAAGGTGTCAATCACTATTATAACAGTGTCAATGACTGTATCCGTTACCCAATGCATCTGCAAAGTAAAGCCGGAGATTCATATTGCATTCTTCCACAGGTCACAACAAAAAATAATAGATAAGGAATGATTATAGGAAGAGAGCTGATCTGGAAGGAAAATAAATCTCTTGAAAATCAGGGCGGCGACATCTATCGGAGTAATTTTACCGTACATATAAATGCACGAACAAATATAAATTACATATACAAGGTGTTACCCTTACAACTAAGCATTGAAGACTTTAGCACCTAGCGCAAATAGAAAGATGATTAGTGTCTGGGGTAAAGTGGCCACGATGGCTTAAGGTGCCCAACAAAAAAACATGCATATTTTGTGTTTAAAAAATGAAATTTGACTCCATGATAAAAAATTTTTTTTAAATTGTTTTGCAGCAAATTAGCAAATATGAAGTAAATTGCATTTATTGTAGTGCAAATAAAATAAAAATGATGTTCCGTTATTACCCAAAAGATTTGCTTTTTTTCAAGCGAATTGTTTTTGTTTATAAATACAACAAAAGTAAAAAATGTAAATGTGAATTTATAAACATAACATAGTATATACCACATACGAGTATTTCCAGCAAAGCTGCGCCATCTTCATGTGGAAGACAGTGTATTAATCGCCGGGTAGCTCGTAGACGTAGTGAAACAGCCTCTTTAACTTTTGTTTTTTTTTGTTTTCGACATTTAGGAATTTATTTATTGTTGTTCTTCATAAATAGGGGTTAAAAGGAGCTTTTGTTTTACGTTCTGGAGCTTTTACTTCGGCTCCTTCGGTAAATATAAGTTTTGTAAAATTTCTCCATACCGTTGTGTAAACAACGTCATGAAGACGAGAGACCATGTTGCTGTCGAATCGCCTTTGGAAATGCAAGTTAAGTACGATTTCCCATGTAAACAAAAATTCCAAAGGTGACTCGACAGCAACTCATTTTTGATCGCATTGTACACAAAATTATTATGTAATTAAGAACCAATTTCGAGAAAAATACCTTATTAGTTTTAATTAACACTATTTACGATTTTTTGGTAATTTTTGGAAAACTGGGAACGTATTTTGGGACACGGTATCTTCGCAGCGTCAAAAACGCTTATCCTAAACAAGAAAAACCGACCCTTAGTAAATGAAATAGTTTAATTACTTTAATTGCGACTTTCGAATTCAGTTTTTAAAAATTCTGGAATCTTAACATTACTTCTTGCACATGCGCATCACAGAAGGGATAAATAAATTACGATTACGATCCTTTCGAATTTAAAAGGATGTGATCTTAAAACATTCTCCAAGCTTTTTCAAATTTAGGGTGTGGGAAGGCCAATTTACTCGAAATAGCACTGGGGCCGAGCTTCGATTTTTACTTACACGAATCGAAATAAAAATATATCGTATTTTTGGTGGTGGCATTCAAACGGCTCTTTTGTGATCAAATCGCCACGGGGGGATATTTTAAATAGATTATCCGATTTTAACAGCGGCACCTCACGTCTTAAATCCCGAATAACAAAAACCTCGTATTATATACGTCAATCCCTTTTCGGGTGAGAGCTTATGCGTAGGTTTAAAAATTAAATTAGGCATTACTCATCCTTACGGGTACAGCCGGCACCACAGAACTACATAAATTCGATGTGCACGAACGCGCCGCATCGCATACATTATACATTCCCTATAAATAATATTTTACTTTCAATTAATGACAGACGTATAGGAAGACAAAAGAAACGAAAGCCATCAAATTACGTTGAGGAACTATAGAACAATTAGTGGAGCCGCGTTATGGCTTCGTGTTCTGAATGTAAAAACGATTTCTAGGTTTGTCGTTTATCCTATAGCAAGGTGCGTGACCTAACATTACACAGCCGCAAACAATACACCAAAGAATAAAGTCCAGACTATAGGAATAAAAACTGAATATAATATGATAGAAAGAAAGGGGAACAAAAGGGCGCCAAATAGGCGAGTGAGAGCTTGCGTGACTTTCGAAAATTAGAATTCTCGCATGAGTTGGATTATTACGACCGTAAGGCTGATAACAGCTAGAACGTTACCTCCTGGAGATAAAAACGTTATGAAGGTTGTAATAGGGAATTTCGGGATAAAGGAAATGCACTTAAATACTATTGCCTAAACGTGCTTTTTTCTTATCGGGAGAAACTATGAGGACAATTGCGTCAATTTAGTTTAATCGCACTTTCTGTTTTAGGTGATCGATGGTAATATTAACACCTACTTGGAGTCCAAGAAGGAGCTCGATCCACCTATATGGGCAAACCGTGTGCGTTTCCTGCCGTACAGTTACCACAAGCGCACTGTTTGCATGAGGGTTGAGTTGTACGGGTGCAAGTGGACGGACGGGATCATCAGCTACTCAATGCCGCAAGGAGACAAACGGGGTTCGAATTGGGAGTTTTACGATACGGCCTATGATGGACATTGGGACGGTGATGAACTGAAACACGGTCTAGGTGTGTTAACCGATGGAAAATTTGGGCGCGACGACTTCAAGCTTTCTTTCTACGACAGCAGTCCATCGTGGGTCGGTTGGAAAAACGACTCGCACGTAAACAAACCCATCGAAATTAAATTCGAGTTCGACAAGGTACGCGAATTTTCCGCCATTCACATTTACTGCAACAACCAGTTCACCAAAGACGTGCAGGTCTTCGCCGAAGCTAGAATATCATTTAGCATCGGAGGAAAGCGCTACAAAGGGGATCCGATCGCCTACGAATACATGGAAGACAAAATATTTGAAAACTCCCGAAACGTAACAATTAAACTCCATCACCGCATCGGGCGATTTGTAAAAATGCAATTCCATTTCGCCGCAAGATGGATTTTAATTAGTGAAATAACGTTCGACTCGGTCGTGACACACGGCAATTTCAGCGTGGAAACCGAACCGCCTGGACCCGCAAAGACAGCCCGTTCGGATAAAAATCTCGAACATAAAATTGAGATTCCGGTACCTACCACAAAAATCAATGATCCCACATACGTGACAATCATCGTCGGCGGCTTAACTGCCATCATTCTAATCCTTGCGGGCGTAATTTTTCTGGTCATTAATCGAATTCGCAACCGTAAGCATTTACGTAGCCCCAACTCATCGAACGTTAACTTCCCCACTAACACTCTACCTCATTTACAACCCGAATCAGTTTTCGGTCTTAGCGAAAAGGAAAGTGCCATCGAAGCTTACGGTGTTACGGAAATTGAAGACTGCCGGCGTTCTCATGGTACTACCCCGTTCAGCTTAAGATCTACCTTGCCACTTTCACATATAGGTTTCGAAAATTTGATGGAAAACAACGACTATCAAGAGCCATATCAAGCCTTCAAGTACGCCCCCTACTACAGTTACAGTTCTGTTGTGATGGAAATGCAAGATGTGATAGCAAACAGTAGTATTAAAAAGTATACTCCAAACCATTCAGGTCAGTTGCCGTTCTCGAGGATTTTCACGTAGACGTTAATTTCAGATGCTTACGATTATGCGGTACCCGAAGCGGGTACTCTGCCGCTTTTGGGCGCGGATAAAACCCTACCAATGACACGGACACGAATGGGAAGTGTAACTTCTGCGTCCCGTGCGCACGCTCGAAATAGTCACAGCGAGCCTACCACCACAAAAAAGGTAAACTATCGATGAAATTCACAGAAAATCATCTGACCAGTTTCAGGCCTCTCCCAATCAACAAGAAGCTATCATTGCCTTAAAGAAACGATTAGAAGAAATGACTTTAACCGAATTTCCGCGACATCGATTACGAATGCTATCGAAATTGTCGGAAGGAGCCTTTGGTACTGTAAGTACGCCCCCGGGTAATTGTCACGCGGATAGGCGAATTAATCGTTTATAGGTGTACATTGCGGAGGCGGACGGTATTCCTGAATATTCTTCGTCTATGTCGATAGGGAAAAGACTTGTAGCAATAAAATTCTTAGGCGAAGACGCGTCAGAAAAGGAAAGGTAAATCTTTTTCCCAAAACCAAAAAATTCCAGTTTTTAGTACAGCATGAACCAAGAAAAAACTGTGTTTCCCTCTCTCGTGTACTTTGTGTTTCCTTAGGTTTCTTATACGTTACATTCAGCTAATCCTGCGTCCTTTAAGATCGATTCTATTTAGTGAAGAATCAAAGCTCACACAGGTAGGTAAGACTTAAGACACCAAAGGGTGGCTTTATATAAGTCCGTTATCCGAAGTGGTTTAGGTAAGTAGAACCCTCCAGGCAAAGGATCAAGCGTTGAATTGGTGATTTAAAACACATTCCCCACTTCCAAAGAAAAATAATAAGATCCGAGGATCCAAAACTGATCAGTCGAAAAACGAAATGGCAGCTGAATTTGGAACTACCCTAAAGGTAAAAAAGATCTATTAATAAGTAAGAAAAAAATTAAAGTGCACTACATTTCCCAACCGCCCTCGTTTTTGCTTGAAAAATCTACACTCATCCCTTATAAACCACTTCGTTTTTCTGCTGGTCTCCTTTGGTTTACAACTGCTTCAATTACTTTTGGAGTTATTTTTTTCCAGCCGAGTAGTGCTTCAGCTTTCGGTTATTGTGGTTTATTTTGACTTCCGCAATTGCGTCTAACTTCATAAAGAAGCTACGAGAATTCGTGTGATTAAAGTGCTTCCAAGTGCCGTTTTATGATTTAGATTTTTACCTCGTAGCAAAGAGTATTATAATGATAACCGTCTACTCTTTGCTCATAACAAACTATGATCTTTGCCCATACTAATCTGGTTTCAGGTCCACAAGAGAAATAATTATTTTATTGTTGTCGAGTTTTCGGCTTCTGAAATTTGTCCCAAAACCCATTATTTCGTTTCAAAATGCCTTCAAAGCTTTTTTGACATACAAAGTACCTATAATTAAATCAATCGCGGAGGAAGGTCCTTAGTAAAAAGTTTGATTTAAATGATCATTTTGTCATAAATGAACTTTTCTTACGCAAGATTTAGGCGTCGACTATACGCGTATTATACATCTTTAAATAATGAACAATTTTCAAACAAAATGGTATTCTATCATTATTTTACGAGTATAATTGAGGCAGCATTTCCTCTTTGTATGGCAATACTAATACGTTGAAAAAGGAAACTGCTTGCACGGGTATCGTTTAAAGAAATAAAAATTCTTTTTCCAATTGACGAACACATATCTTTTCTTCCCAGTGGCTGTAGAAACTTGAGGTGTATTTGGTCAACAAGCTTATAAATTCATTAACGAAATTGATTATGCATTGAATGACGCACGAAATAAGTTATTACAAAAAATGAAGGCGATCAATTTCACCGAGTAGAAATTACTTACACTTTCTCATAAATAAAATTATTTGTGCGCGAAGAAGGCAGGTACTGAATACCTATTTGGATTTTTCGCCTCAAAAACTAAAGTACGTATACTACGACAAAAGAAACAAATTAATTCGATCAGCCGCAATTTTTTTAATAATCTTTATACAGAAATTATGGCTCGAATCTTTATAATGAAACTTTGCACTCTACTAGGAAGCAAGTAATTTCAAAAATTAGTTTGACACAAGCTTTCGAAATCGGGAGATGATAACAATCGCTTGTTATGCAGGAATATTGTGAAAATTAAGGTTTTCACCATAATTGAAATCTATTTGTCGTGCTTAAGTTTACGTAGACGCCGATTTTTTATAAATATTTCTTTCTTATGCGTAAATTAGGCAAAATACGTATTATTTAAATGAAATTTTGCGCCCTTATACACGGTGCTTGTTAAACATGCGGCAAAAATGAAAGAGGTTATCGAATTTCGTATATTTAGGAAACATTGCCAAAAGCTCGTTGGCATTACGTTCCGTTATTACTGCTTTCGCCGATTAGTGACTAAGGTGCTCATTTTATCGGTATTGGTGCAAAACTGCAACTAAATTTGATTTAAATTGGAATTGTAATCCATCCGGGGCACCACATTTTAACGGCCTAAGGGAGGATGGGGTAAAAGTTGTCAAGACTCATCTTAGGAGAGTAATCAGAACTCAAATATTAACCTATTCAGAACTGTATAGGTACTTTTTTAACGGAAGTAGAAGCTCTTCTAAAATCTCGTCCTTTATACGCCATTTCACAAGATCCTAATGATCTGCAACTACTATTGGTTTTTAATGGATGGTAATGTTATGTCTGGAATCATATCATTTTTGGAGAAATAGATAATTAATAAAATCATCCATATTTGTGTCCATCCCAATCATACACTAGGAGAGCGAAAGAGTAAAGAAAATTTGTTGTGCGCCCGTATAAATAATGTGGTAAATGCAAAAGGGCGCATAATCGGCATTAAATTGCTGCTTCTGTTTCTCTGAAAAAATATAATTTGGAAGTAACTTATTTTTAATAGTGGCGGAAAATTTTACCTCTGATTTTACATTTTAAAGATACATAACAATGTGAAAGATTTTGTGTTAAATGCCCTTCGAGGGAGAGTGGCAACCCCTAAATTTTTAAATAGCAAATAGAGACCTGTGACATATTATTTGATGATGATTGTGATAGGTATTTTACTGAAATCTTCTTCGAACATTACTAGACGTACCCTTTCTGGAACTTATTTAATCATTTTTCAATTTTTATAGAGTTTTGAGAGCACCTTGGAAAGCTTTCTTGTCCATATTTCCTTGGCCCTTTATGTATTTTTAAACCTTTTCGTAATTTAAGGGTGTTCTCGGAGAGATTTCCAAGATACTAGTATATCCAAATCTTCCTGCCACTTTCTTTTAATTCTCAGGAATGTTTAACAGCACTTCATAGAATCCTCCCATATTCTTTGAATTTTGCTCAATCTTAGGGTGATGTAAATCTATTGAATCTTTCAAAAATTTTCTAACTTCTTGGAATATTTTTATTTATTTTAAAACATTTTTGAAATTGTTTCAAGTTAGTTTGGAAGTTTTAAACATTCTTTCTACAGCACAATTTCTATACGTCCATATATTACAATTTGTTGTTCTTCAAATATTATATATTTTTAAACTTTTTTGAAGTCGTTTCTTTGAAAAGGAACCTCCTAGGATTTCCGATTCTTCACGTCGACATATTACCAGGAGCTTCACTGGGAGTCTTAGAAACTACGATTTTCAGAGCACCTTGGGATGACAAAGGTTAGTACAAGATAACTTCCCAGAGTGCTTTCCCCATTCCAAATGCGTATCTAAGACCTGTGAACAATCCTTGGGGCGCTGTTGAGATGAACCAGATTTAATTATCAAGAATCCTGAATCAAAGTCATGCAGTGGCATGTTAAGGTTAAAGTTTGAGGTTGGAGTTCTGTAAATGTTTTCTTTGTAGTAGCTTAAGGTTCCTCTTTCCAAAGTCAGGTGCACATAAGAGAAGAAGAAGGTTCAGATTTTTTATTTCAGAATGTTCCTTGCGGATTCGTGATCGCCGTAAAATATGCGAAACCCTGTAAAAACGATGAGTTACAATTGTAACAACGTTTTCAGTTTTTCGTTCGCTCACTGTATCCAAAAAGTACGCACAGACAGATGGAGGGAAACACTTTTTTTTCTAGACATACGTAAACCATCAACAATTTTCTTTCAGAATATTGTTCAAAGATTCGCGTTTAAATAAAACCCCTTTATTTCGCAGAAACGACTTCTACAGAGACGTTCGGATTCTGGCAGCTCTTGAAGACCAGGCGATCGCTCGCGTTTTAGGCGTGTGTAGTCAAGGCGAGCAGCTTTGTGTTGTGATGGAATATTTAGAACACGGTGACCTGTGTCAATTTTTGAAAAGTCACGTGGCCGCCGAAAGTAGTAATAGTGTACCTTACGGTGTAAAATCGCTTAGTTGTAACTGCCTTCTTTATATGGGTGCTCAGATTGCTTCTGGTATGAGGTACTTAGAATCACTCAATTTTGTTCATCGCGACTTAGCAACGAGAAATTGCCTAATAGGTAAAGCATATCAAATAAAAATAGGCGACTTCGGAACTTACAACGAAGTTTATGCAAACGATTATTATAAAGTTGATGGAAACACCCCTCTACCTATACGTTGGATGGCGTGGGAATGCGTCTTTCAGGCTAAATATACGAGCAAATCGGACGTATGGGCCTTTGCCGTAACACTTTGGGAGATACTAACGTTGTGTCGCTGGCAGCCTTTTGAGAGATTTATGGATCCGCAAGTTATGGAAAATTTAACTCATATGCACTGTGATGATGATTCGTTTATGTATTTGCCTCGCCCAATTATAGCAACTAAAGACATTTATGATTTAATGGTAGAGTGTTGGCGACGGAAAGACGTCGAGCGCCCGTCGTTTAGAGAAATACACTTATTCTTGCAAAGAAAAAATTTAGGGTACGCCCCCACGTAGTGTTAGCAAGACTGGTTAGTCATAGAGGGATCAAGTACAGATAGATTTTTATGTACATAGAACACAGGGTGATAAAGTTTTTAGGATTCATTTACAATTTCTGTTAAAGTAGATCTACTATGAAAAAGTGCATTTAGAACTTGTATTATTTATTCAACATTTTAGTACTAGTTTTGTTTAAGTTTCGCTTTATTCATTTGTTAAATTGTACACAAAGAGCACAATAACGTAAGACAATGTGTAGGTACCAATGTTAAAAGTAATTAATAATGTTATATAATAATACAAACTATATTTACTAGTCAATTGAATCGCCTATGTGGGTTTGTTCATACATAATATTATAAAATTTACGCTAGCGCGTAGTTATTTTAAGCAAGGAGATAAAATTGTTCATTGTAGTCTTACTGGTAGTGTTTTTGTTTAGTGTCAACTATTGACAATAACTCGATTCTATTCCTGCTTGTCTATGTGGCATTACTCTTATATTTTTGCTAAGAACCATGTTAATAACGCTTGTGAATATGCTGCATAGGAGCACGCACGAATACTCTCTTCGTCTCTTTGATTTGAATAACTATGTAAGAAAAACAAATGAGCTTAAAATACCTTCGCTTAAAACACAATGTAAACGAACGATTCAAATTTTATTCTAAGATTAAAAACGAATGCAGGGCGACGCCCGATCTATAATGTAAATGTGTCATATTTTCTAGTTACCATAAAAATTATCACTATTTTTATCAATTTTCCGTTTTCGATTAGTGCCTTAATGCATTATTACGAAAATTGTTTTTATTTGTTAAACGTTGTACTGTTCAACCGCAATAAGGCACTAAATCTTTTAGGTGTGATGTTAAGCATAAATTCAAAACATATGTCGTATTATCATTTAAATTGTGCCAACGACAATTATCACCGAATTGTATAATTCGTTCACGTTAAAATATTAGGGTTATTTTTCATTATTGCGTAGAATTGATGAAACAAACATTCCACCTCTTAAATACTAGCACGATGGCACCTAATATTTACATAATGGCAAGATTTATAATATTTGCAATAATACTTTGTGATTCAGTTGTTGTGTATTGAAATTTTTTGCAAATAATTGTCAATGTAACATATCATCGTAAAAATAAAGTTATTACTGATAAGTTGTCTTATTATTATGCGACCCTCTTCCAAAAATAGTACCTTTAGTGCAATTTTATAACTAAAGTTCACGTTTTTAATTTATTTTAAAAAATAATTAATTCATGATTCAAAAGGCAATTAGGACAGGGATAAGCCGTATGAGCAATTCTGTGACTTTTGGTATTTTTTACGAAAAGAGGAGTAAAACGGAGCAGTGATTGCAAAACTCAAAATTTTCGCATGAAAGTTCGACAGACATTTATTTATAAATGACACAGATTTTCTTTAGTCATTTTGAATGATTTATTTTACATTTATTTTTGTAGAGGGCTTTCGTATCATTTTCCGGCAAAAGCTCAATTCCTATTTTTCTCTTTTCAATTATCTCCGTGAAAATTCAAGAAAATAACAGCTTTTAAAAATAGCTAACACACCCGAATGGCTATAGGAGTGCAACTGAAACAAAAAGTAACTAAAAGCTAATAGTAAGAGGAAACGGATCGTTTGGGCCGCCGGCGATGCTTTGAGCGCACAAAGGGCAGAATAGCGTTGAAAATTCCTCTTTGGTGAGGCACTGATCGCTTACCATATGTAATAAATGTGTTTTTACCATTTATACTCCGGCCTCGGGCAACCCATTACAATGGGACGAGTACATCTCACATTGTAAGTACTCTCTAATTTTATTACAATTGCTTAAATTACATGTTTTACACAGTGGTTCCACTGAGAAGAGTCGCGATAGGCACTCGAAATATCTGGACTTCCAAATAAATTTTTGAATTACTTTCATCGTGGCCTAATTTACATTAATATACACCACCGATTTAAAAGAATTACATAAATCACATATGGGCATTGTTAAAGCGAAAAGCCTAGCTCGCTCATGTTTTTGGTAGCTGCCATACCTGAACATTACATAAAAAGTCACCCAATAAAGCAGTATTAAATCCGTGGGTTTTTCCGGAGCTCTTGGGTCCATTTTTGAATAAATATTTTTTAGTTATAGTTGATGCTCATTCGAAATTGATTGAGGCATTTCCAGTCACTTCAATCACTTCTAAGGCAGCACCTTCAAAGTTCATTGCAAGATTTGGACTACCTAGGCGGGTTGTTTCTGATAATGCTGCTGCTTATGTATCTCGCGAATTTGAAGAGTTTTTATCCCTGAATAATATTAAACATATTAAATCAACACCTTATGAGCCTTCGTCCAATGGAGAAGCTGAAAATGTGGTCAAAAGTATTAAAAATGCGCTCAAAAACATATTGCGAAGTATGCAACACTTAAATTCTTTAAACACAGGTCTATGTAACTTTTTATTATTATTTTATTATCGCACCTTCAAGATTATTATTCGATAGTAAAGTGCGCACCAGATTCGACAACTTGTTACCACCAAAAATGACTGAAGATTCAACTGACGTACAACAAAGATTTTTATACAAACCAAAATTACAAAAAAAATCTATCATGGTGGAAAAAGGTGGTGACATATCAAGTAAATGAAAACGTAATAGTAAGAGATTACAAAAATCCCCAGAAATCAAGGCTCAAAGGTTCGTTAAAAAGAAAATTGGAAGATATTTAATTAGAATTTCGTCTTTAAATCGAATTAAAAAATGTATTTTATATGAAATTCGTATACTAGATAATATTGAAATAGAACATATAGGTAAATCAACAGGATCTACCAATTGAAGAACCATTTCTCCGGATTTTCTGGAAATTAAGGATAGTGAAATAGCAGCGGAGCTGGGTAAAGCCCTCTTGAAAAGGGCTTGAAGCACTAAGCACGGAGCACTTTGTTTTGATAAAAGTGCTTGCAAGCCCTAAACACTTTTATGTGATGAAAGAGCTTGAATTACCAAGCACTTTCTAAAGTAATTGAAAATACAAAGCACCAAGCCCTTGGAAAGTGCTTGAAGCCATTTAAAGTGCTTGAAGCCCTTTGAAAGTGCTTGAAGGCATTAAAAGTGCTTTAATCACCGTAATTGACAATATAAATTAATATAAATATAAACAATATAAAGCACCTTTCATATTACTGGAAACACTCTAAAAAACACGCTAGAAACAGTACTTCCGCATCGTAATTATACTGGAGGAATTAGTGGTTTTATCGCTAAAGTTTTGCTTGTCCAAATTTTCGTTTAAAACGATTAGGTAAACAAAAAAATGTTGTTATCGGTACAGTACTCTCCCCGTAGCCCTGGGTAATGTAGAAGTAATAACTGCATGTGCTATAAAAGTAGGTACTACAAGAAAAAAATCCAGAATGTTGCTCGGAAATTCTTTGACACTTGTTACTTGTAAGTACCTACCGAGACGTATCTTCTGAAATAGTTGAAATTAGAAGAAATACACAGATAAAATTTGTAAACTATTAGTATGTAGGTAATAATTCATAATTACAAATATAAAAGGACAATAAAAGATAACAATTCCTTATAATCAAAGTAATACAGATATAAGGGTTAACACTTAAATAAAAAAATAACTTGCAAACAAAAATTTAAACTTCTACTATTCTTGGTATTTACTATTTTGGCGGTTTGATGTTGTATTCTGGCCTTTTATAAAAATGTTTAATTTAGTGGCAAGTGCGTGGTAATTGATTAGGTACTTTTTTGCCGTTCAGGTAATGTATTATATACGCGGCATTAAATTATCTGATTATACCTATCGTAATAACTATAACAAAACTTAACGTATGCCGGTATGCCCTGAATATGATAGGGCAGCGTTAATAAATGGCAGAACTTACCTCTTCCTTTTTTTGTTCGCGAAATAGTACGACCCCTTTCACAGGAAACCACACAATACGAAAAACAAGAAGTCAAAAGTGGGATGTGCAGACTGCAGACTAATCACTAATGAAGCACAGAACACGTAGGTAACGTCAGAGTAGGAGTGAAGGAATGAGTAAGACTAAGGGTTTTCTAAATTCGTCACCTAATTCACGATATGAAAGTGCTTGAAGCTCTTTATAAGTGCTTGAAGCTCTTAAAAAGTGCTTGAAGTTCTTTGAAAGTGCTTTAAGCTCTTCGAAAATGCTGGAAGCTCTTTATAAGTGCTTGAAGCTCTTTATAAGTGATTGAAGCTCTTTATAAGTGCTTGAAGTCCTTGAACAGTGCTTGAAGCATTTTAGAAGTGCTCGAAATTGTATGAAAGTGCTTCAAGCACTTCAATAGGGCTTGAAGCCCCAAGCACTTTTAAAAAGTGTTTGGTAATTGAAGCACTTTTTCCTGAATTAGAAAAGTAATTGAAGCACAGAGCTCTAAGCACTAAAAGTAATTGAAGTCCTTTAGCAAGCACTTTTTTTCAAAGCACTACCCAGCTCTGAATAGCAGTTAGGCGAGAAGTAAAGCCAGTGTTTGACGTACGTATCTAAGTTGTCAATGTTCTTGTTATTATATTGTTTGTATGTAAAAATATATTTATATCAACATATGTCCTAAACCTCATAGTTTTTAGCTACAGGGTGTTAAAATTAAAAAAGTAAGTTTTTTATCATCATTTTTTATCACTCTTAGATATTTTTATGAAATTTTGTACACACCTTTCATTACTAAGGAGCATTTATTGACGCAAATTTTTTTTTAAATTTTTACCAGTGACGTCCGTAAGGGGTTTGAACTGACAATTTTATTTTTTAAGTTTAGGACATATTTTGATATAAAACTTTTCTCCTTAAAATCACCCGAGGATTCACAGCCTGTATTATCGGCACTCAATTAATTAACACCCTGTATAAACCTTTGCACCACGCATTTTGTAAAGGGTCAGAAAGGGTTTTTTGAACGACTCTTCTTGCGGATAAAATCCAGTGTAAATGATGATGGTTATAAACCCAGGATGACAGCGAACATTATGTGTAAGTTGAACAGTAAGTGCCTTTAGCCTACGTGAACTATAGCCAATAACAATGGATACTTTAATGCAAAGCTCTAAGAAAGCCATATTTGTAGAAAAACTGGAAGCTTTCTGAAAGGTTTGACTAGAATTCAGATTTTGTTAGTTTTCGCAGAAAACAGCTTGCTAAACGTATAAGGCACGTTAGAGATTTATGTAACTCATCAATAGTAAGGGCCGTAGAACTTTGGTTGCTAAATTTTTGTTATTGTTTGCGAACCGAAAGCAAATCGAAATAGTACTTTGAATTTTTAGTAAATAACTATAGGTTTTCACATGCAAAATAAAATGAATATTTTATTTTCCACAATTTTGTAATCTGCCAGGGTTGCGTAGATAACAGGTCAGTTGCAGTTAGTCTGTCGTGCAAATCAGTTACCTATACGGTTTGATCTCATACAATCTTTAGAATCTCTTACACGTCTAGTTTGTTGTTAAATAATGGCAATTAAAGTTTGTTCAGTGTGATTGTTAAAAGTGTGAATAACGAACTGAAAATTCAAAACAATTATTGAAGATTTGCATTTACTCTATCCTCCTAATTAATCTTCTTCCGTATCCATCTCGATCTCGTGGCGACGGAATTTCATCAAAAAATGGGAAGTGCAAACATTAATTAAAAATTACAGCCATTTAAACATACAGTATTAGTAGCGTATCTAAGAAATTAGGATTGTGCTTTAATGTTTGGATATATATATCTGTTAAATGTCAGTGTGCCTAAAAATATAATATTTTTTCCTTGGACTCGTATAGGTATAGTTAGATGGGAGTTTGCATGTGCCCAATGGCGGTTATTTTGTCTATTACACATTCCAGCACTTGATATGTGTACTTCACCACTGCAAATAATGTTATCGCTAAAATTACCTCATTCTCCTGCGTAAGAAACCAATTACATTTTAGTCCTCGAAACACCAACATCTCTTGCAATTCTCCGGGAAGAAGCTTCGTGATTTGCTTCTACACTTCCTAAGTTCCTATACACCATAAGAGTAGCTTGATGATGATTTTCAATTTTCCATCACCAGGCATTGATTAATTTCATTTGAATAGAGAACTATAATTTTTCGTGTATATATCAACTAATGGGTTAATGATAAGAGAACTACGTATGCAGATAGAGCAAGCAGGAATGCAGATAACGGTACTCGACCTTCTATCCAGAACGAGTTAAATGTACGTCAATCACCTGTTGTTAAAAGTCCAGCTGATGACAACAATGAAAATGAAAGAGAATGGAAAACGGTTAAAAATACACGCCGTTTACGTAGAAAATCACCTGTCCGTGGAACCAATTCATCAAATTTGGATATACAAGGTATACCGCGCCTGTATCACTTCTATGTAAGTCGATTACATCCAAGTCTTTCTGCAGTAAATATTACCGATTTTTTATCTAAACATGATATTAGCATCTTCGAATGTAACAAAATGGAATCCAAGTATCCAGAAATTTACAGTAGTTTTAAAGTATCTGTAACCGAAGATATGAATGAACGTATCCAGAAACCCGACTTGTGGCCCAACGGAGTAACAGTAGGAAAGTTTTTTCAGCGTCGGGACCGACTCAGGGAGCGACACAAATCAAAAGTGCCATCGGAGTAATAAAGTAGGGAATATTCCATTTAAATGTCCAATCGCTCACAAATAAAGTTCTCGAGTTAGAGGTGATTTTAAAAACGAACAAAAACTGAAATATAGTGTGCTTGTCTGAACATTGGTTAAATGAAAGTGTCGTCAATCTCGTTAACATTCCGGATTTTAGACTAATTTCCCACTTTTGTAGGAAAGTACGTAAACACGGTGGTGTAATGATCCTGGTCAAACGGGATATAGAATGTGATTCTATTCCCATTGTTAAAACTTTGTCTGCAGAGGTTGACTGTGAAATATCGGGCATAATTATTAAACGTAGTAATATGATTATTTTGACTGTTTATAGATCGCCACTGGGCGATTTCAATGTGTTTATTCGTACTCTCACTATCTTATTTTCGAAACTAAATGTTTCCAAAAATGTTATTGTTTTATGTGGTGACTTGAATGTTAAGTTTCATACCAGTGATAATCAAGCGGTTTATCTCACCGACTTATTGAATAGCTTTGAATTATATCCTGTAATTTATGAAACACCAGAAACCAAAGTTGTCTCGATAATATCTTTGTAAACTTTGAATGTAATTTTAATTTCAATGCGTCTGTTTTTGACCCGAATATCTTAGATCACTTGGCACAAATTGTTTATTTTGCTGCCCGCAGCTCTGAACAAAAATATTCTTCCAAAATATGTAGGCCCATCACAGCTGATGTCGGTAAACTGATAATGTACAACTTGCTCGAAAACACAGATTGGTCATTTGTTGATAAGAGTCGTATACCAGCTGAAGAGAAATTTACACAATTTCTTAACATTTTTAATAACACTTTTATTTTTAGCTTTCCGACAAGAATCGTTAAGCAGTCTACATCACGTGGCTTCTCAGTTAATTGGTAGGAATATGCGTGAAGTACTTAGAGTACTTAATTAGAACTATAAAAGGTTTAAAAATGAAAATACACGGATTCTCGTAAGTCCTTACAGAAAGTTGTATAAACAAGAGTTAAGTAAGGCAAAAATTATGGCTAATCATCACTTTATAAAAGCATCAAACTCTAAACCCAAAGCGATGTCGCAAGTAACAAAACAAAGTAGCTTTGACAGTTGGCAACCAACTTCTAATTTAACTTCAGATCAATTTAATGATTTTTTTCCTAACATTGCTGAAGAAATAAGTGCCTCACTTGCGGATCAGAAGAAAGATCCAATTAGTTATTTTACTAATCGTTATATTGATTCTTCGATATCCTTTGAATTTCGTGAATTAACATTCAATGATTTACGAAATATAATAAAATATAAGTATAAATAACAGTAGTTGTAAAGATCACTTTGAATTAACCGCTAACATAGTAAAAGGTGTACTGAATGTTATTCTGGTTCCATTAACAAAGGTAATAAACGCCTGTATACCTACGTAAATCTACTTACCCTGAACAGTTAAAAGTTTCTAAAGTTGTTCCACTCCATAAAGGTGGGGGTGACGAAAATCTTCTGACCAATTACCGACCACTGTCTATACCACCAGTTTTCTCAAACATTTTTGAAAAAGCTTTAAAAGTTCAAATCATGCATTATTTTGATTCTATCAAATTATTTTCCTGTAGTCAATATGGATTTCGTGCGAATAAATCGACGTCTAGTGCCATATTAAACTTGACAAATAATATTTTAACCTGCTTTGAGGCCAATGATTTCTATATTGCAAATTTCTTGGCCCACACTAAAGCATTTGATTGTGTTAATCACTCCATTTTAGTTAACAAACTAGCTAAATATAACTTTTCTGGCAATACCATTTCACTATTGAAATCATATCTGAGTGCTCGAACTCAATATGTGTATTTCAATCAATCACAATCAAATTATCAAAGTATCACTGCTGGTGTACCACAGGGGTCGGTACTTGGTCCGATTTTATTTTTAATATATATAAATGATTTAACTTTTTTAACTCATCCCAATGATATAATTCTTTATGCTGATGACACCACTTTATTGAGAAGATGTCCGGATCTAAATCATGAAACATGCATCTTGGAGGATGTCCAAGAATGGATATTAAATATTAAATATTAAAGCAAATGTGAAAAATGTATTTTTACATTAAGACGCACGGAGGGAGTAAATAATCCCACACAAGTTAAATTTTTAGGAGTGTTGATTGATCCCAAATTGAATTGGCTTGCCCATTGTAACCACTTATCAATCAAGCTATCAAAAGCATGCTATTTGCTACGTTGTTTGAAATCTACAGTATCTACTGATGTAGTAATCAGTGCATATTATGGATGCTTTCATTCTATTATGACTTATGCGATTATAACGTGGGGGCATTCGGCAGGAATAAAAAGAATATTTTCAATTCAAAGACGTGCCATCCGAATAATATCTAACCTTAATTATAGAGCTTGCTGTAGGTACAAATTCATTGATCTCGGTATCTTAACTTTGCCATGTATTTATATTTTAAATTGCATTTTACATGTTATAGACAATATTTCGTTTTATCAGTCTAGTGATTTTACTCATCGATATGTAACGAGAAGTATCGGTAATTTACGCACAAATCAACTTCGTCTAACTACTTCACTAAATTGCATTAATTACTATGGGAGTAAATTTTACAACAAAATACCTTTGAAATATCGATCATTACCAATAACTCAGCTAAAAAATGTTATTAGCAATTATCTAAAAGCAAATGCCTTCTATTCAGTGAACGAGTTTCTTCAATCCCAGTCCAGTGATCTGTGATATTCAGGTTTAATATATTTTAATTTATTTTGTTTGTCTTTCTATGTAGTTGTAGTTTGTTGTTTTCACTTTGACGAATCTTATATAGTTCTACTATTTATTGATAATAAAGTATTGATTGATAACAGCGGATGTAAAAAACAATAATCTGGAGCTAAATTCGCCCCGGAAACCTCGTTCCTGAAAAGCTTTGCCACCGGAAAAATCGGACAACATACCGTTTCAGACGTTTCACAAGCGGTTATAGTTTTATGCAAACCTGGCGCAACACAAAAGTCCAGTTGTCCTGAACCCGAATTTTAAACTCTTGAGCGAGAGGAAAAAATAGATACCCAATATTGGGATTGGGTGTTGGGTACAAGTAATTTTTCTATCGGAGCGGTCAAATCAATTAATGAGTTCTTAATTTGAGTAAAACATTTAATTAGTTTGTACTTATTAGTTACATTAGAATATAAATCTTTGCTGTAGTACCTATAAATTTACCTAAATTCGTTTGAGGCAGTGAATATGTCGTAGAAAAATACAAATTGATTCGCTGTATATACACGTAATACATAAATTGCAGTGACTTAATGGTGACGAGTGCCTCGCTGGCATTTTCTCATACCATCACTCAAAGTAACGAATTGTCAATGTATATCGAGGGTTAAACTACCTTAAAGTTAGCTTAAACTTTAATGGTTCTTTTGGCACATAAGTGGGCGTTATTTCGTAGGTTAATGGTCCATAATTGTACTCAACTTTGTACTTCCTGAATATCTAAAATCGAACATATTTACTGAGGACGATTGATTATACTTTACCTTGGCTAGGAGAATTTGTAGCTCCATCTCCGCAAACCGTCTACCCAAGCACGCTCTACGGCCATAGCCGAAGGGCAACGTTACGAATGGATGTATCTTCTTGTGCTGAATCGGACAGCCGGTCATTTCCGTTTTTAACCAGCGTTCCGGCACGAATTTGTGGGGTTGGTCGAAGTATTCTTCGATGTTACTCACGACCAGGTGCGGAAAAATGATGTGAGTCTGCGGAATACCTCGGATTTAAAAGTCGTAGGTAAACTAAAGTTATAGTTACCCCTTTGGGTACCATGTATCCGCCAATCACAGTGTCATTGGACAGACTTCGTCCATTACCAATAATAACGGGATACATTCTGCAAGTATATAAGAGAAATGAAACGGTAAAAGTGGTTACAGCTACCTTAAGGTTTCCTTAATGCAGGCTTTAAGATAGTGCAAGTTCTCCTGGGCGTTACTGTCAATTGCCGAGCCAGCCTCTGGTAGAATTGAGCAAAGCTCTTCGTAAACCTTTTGCTGTTTGTCTTGGTTTTGTGAAAGTTGATACAAAGTAGAGGCTAACGCTATCGAAGTCTAAGGAGTTTAGTGAAAGCACCGCTAAGTTTCTCGAAACGCCTTTACTTACCGTATCAACACCAACTAGCAACAAGTCTAGCGCCAGGACCGCCGCAACTTTGCTATTTCCGGTTTTCAAGAAAATTCTTTCTACGATCGATATGTCTTCCTCTTGCTTGTCGATTGCTGACCTACTAGAGATATTTTCGACGGTTCGAGTTATGTATTTCATGCATAATCTGAAATCCAAGTGTTCCGTTATTTCCGTGTTCCACCACACTTTATGGGTACAGAAAAGTGCGCGCTTATCACGTTCATTATCTACTATTTGCTTTTGTTTTCAAGTCTATACATAGGTAGGTAATTACTACTACAAATACAATTGTTTAATTGCTTGTCGGTGTTTATAGAATGCATCAGAGTTTTAACCATCTTTTTTGCATTTTTAGCATTATCCTGTAAATAGAGAAAATTATAGGCAACAATTATTGATGGTGGAGTCACTTATTTTTCGCCTGATTTTCCACAAAACGTGATCGCGGGCTATTAGGATTGGTAACGTATGAAATGCAGATGCAAAACCTGATCTAAAGAATAGTTGTTAGATGTAACTTCTTTTTTAGTAGCAAAATATACACAAGAATTTTGCTACTCTTAGTTTCAATGTGTGAAATGACTTTTTGTTTATACGCAGTTCTCGGAAAAATGCCAAAATCGTTGAAGGATTTCCATATCATTGAAACTCCTTTTCCTGATTAGAGGTTGAACAAGAGCGTATTCGTAAGTCTTTTTGCTTATTTAGATAACATGGATTACGATAAACGGATTTACTTGAGTTGACTTTAATGTCAAATTCAAAAGTTAGAAATAATCTCTTGAAGTTTCGTTTCTTGTTTAGAATTAAGTTTATATTCAATTTCGCTTACAGTATTTAAAAATTTTAGTTTGGTAGGCTATCACACTAGGAAATGGAACTACTGCCACTGCTTTTAAGAAAACTTGAGGCTTATTTCATTTTGGAAGAGAATCAACACCAATTATGACATCAAAATTTAGATTATGGATTATGTGGAATTTTACAAGCCACGAAAATTCTGAAATTTTAACAAATACTCTAATTAATTTGTATACTTTGCTTATACTGCAGTTAGAAAGTAGCACTGTTTCCGAAATACGCGAAATCGGACCATAATTTTTACAATATCTACAAAATCTTCTATCTGGCACGTTATAATTAGATCTTCTCGAACTGGAGGATTATAATTGTTCTGATGCCTAACATTAGATACTACCGATGGCGTATCCCTTCTCACTATGGATTCAACTTTGTGAACTGTTGTTTCTACTACTAATTCGATAAAATTTGTGGGCTCTGGAAGATATTTCATGATGTCAAAGGTTGCTTTATTGCGGTAGGGGCAGATAATTTAAACTAGCAAATTTTCTGGATAATTACAATGGCCTAAAATTTAATATCCGAAGAAACATCTTGAAAAGCTTCGTCATCTTTTTGCACTCGATTAGTAGTCCAGTCAAATTAGCTCTAAAAGTAGTATAAACTGGATCTTGTCATTTCACTGAACGAAACCAAGCGTATTCTATGTAAAAAAATCCGCTGAATCGGAAAATCATAGTCCCCCCGGCCGGAAACGCCCGGAACATATTGTTATAAACAAAAAACGCAGAAAAAATGGGAAAATGTCGTGTTTTTTCACATTTGACTGCCAATATCTCGTTAACTATTGCTCTGGGGGAAAAAATGAATAGAAATGAACTTGTTTAATAAAATTTTCTATAAGATACAGTTGGTTCGGAACCCTTATTTTCAACTGTTATTGTTTTTTAGGGAAAAATGTAAAAACAGTAATCTCGAAAATTAACACTTTGTTATTACTAAGTAAAATTCATGCGATCTTTTTGAAAATACGTATTTAGTAACTACTTTTGATAACAAAACAATATGACAAACCAGATCACCGTAGGTTTCATACTCATTGATTAATTAGATAAACAAGTAGAAAAAAAGAAGCTTTGTCTTTCAAACTGGGGGAGTACAAGAGTGTTCTCAATTTTTTTATACATATTATAACCCTAAAACAATCTTTTCTAATAATTGTCCCGATGATTCCTGCAAATCGACAGACTGTGCAATTTTTTTTTCAAAATCCGAAGAATTTTCTTAGTTAACAAATGGAATAAACTCCCGAAATATAACAAAATAATATAACTCTATAATTGGCGAACGTAAAGCTCTCGGAAAACCGTACATTAAAAAAAAATACGTCTAAATCCGATTAACAGTTCACGAGAAATGAGCTTTTGACTTTGAAGCCAGTTTTCGAAACAACCAAAAATGATTTTGCAAATCGGGTCGCACCGATCGATTCTTTACAGCGTGAACTTTTTTCATGCTTCTATTTCACCAAAATGAATGATTTTGATGTATTTTAGCATTGAAAATGCTTTTATGTTTGGTATATGGGTATGAAGTTACTAGTTTGGTTCAAGCAGAAAAGACAGCGGACAAGTGAAGAAAAAGTAAGTAAAAAAATTGAAGTAGTTTCATTCGGCTTTAAAAAAATATTGTATGCTAAAGAAACCAAGTAGTCGTTCTTAATGCATAACTTTGGATCCATCAGTAAAGATATTGCGGTCCAAATTTTGGAATAGACTTTACTTAACTAGCCAAATGCCTCTGTGTCTCCAATTTTATTAAATTTTATCTTCTTTTCTAAAAATTGCTTTGCAAACTTTCGTGTAATTACAGAATTTAATACCACACAGTAGTAAAGTGAAAAACGAAACTCCACACGTTAAGGCATAGGAAATTGTAGAGAGAACTTTTTCCTTTTATTCAATTTTTATAAACAAAGGAAATATAATCAAATAAAAAAAATCAACGCGCCCCTGTAGAAAACCCAGTTTTAGTGTTGATAAAAGAATTCAATACAGCCAATCGGGGAATTTTAGCGATAATTTATACCAACAGAATTTTATATTTTTCATTAAAATTATATATTCGTATGACAGCATCAAATAATAGTTACTCTTAAATTGTAAATAGACACAATCTCAATTTCTACAGATATTTTATACCTACCTACCTCAATCAATAGATAATGTGGTGTGATTAATTATGATTATCCCTATGGGTACTTTCATCCAACACAAATAAATAATGACTTTATAGAACAAATCTTGTCGTCTTATGTAGTAATTCAACATCTGATGACTGTAATGTAATCTAACAATTTATAATTGTTGATTAGGCATGCTGTTTAAAACTACGAGTCGCCTTTTTTAGCGCATTTTCTTAAAAATACAAAAATGTCTGGTCACTTTGTACGCCGGTCTGTCCGTCGGTCTGTCCGCTCGCCCGTCTGCCCGTCCGTCTGTACATATAAATTCCATATTCTAAGGTCAGAAAATGCTTAGAAAATCAAATTGAAATGACGTGTCACAGAATAGGTTGTGCATGCGCAGTGTTAACTTTATTATTTGTGGACGGATTTTTCTGCAATTTTAAAAGGAAGGAATGAATATGAACTTAATGCACCTCAAAAAATAGATACATACTTACTACGCAGGCTAAAATCACATAAAACAATAAATTATTGTGCCTTATAAAATGAAATTGAAGTAGCACGTCAAAAATAGATTGTGCATGTGCCGCATTTTTACGAAATTTTAACAGAAGGTGGTACTTATATCGGGTGGTGCACCGTAATTTGGAACAAAGGGATTTAACATGGGAAATTAGTTTTATGCAATATCCTGCCCTCCTGTACATTTTACAAAAAAAACTTCAGAGTTTAAAGTTGTTCAGAATTAAAAGGTGCATACAAAACTGTTTACATGTTTTATTAAGCTTTTGGTATACCGGCAAATTTAAAAATTAATTTCAACGTTTCTGTTATTCGTATAGCAATAGCCGTGACTTTTGTTCTTTTATAAATTGCTACTAATAACAGGGTGGCGAAATCTGTGAATTTTTTAATAGCATTTCCTTGATAACACCACTTTGTCATAGAAGACTACCATTCTAAAATTTGACAATCGACCTTACTTGTTGAACGACTAAAAAACTCGATATTCGGTATTTTGAGTATTTTTTCAACAGATTCGATAAAAAATATAATTGATTCGGGATTGCTATGATTACACGTCTGAAATCACTTTCTTTGAATCTACACAAAATTTAACTTACTTTGACGATTCCGAAATATTTTCGGTTATTTTCGCAATTTTTTGCGACTGACTTAAAATCGCCAACTTATCTAATGATAAAGAATTAGGAAAACTAACTTTCTTTTTTATTTATGATGAGCTAATATTTTCGAATTTGTTTTATATCAGGGGAAGATGCCGTTTTTTGGAGAAGCATCTGAACCGTCGTCGTCGGAATCCCTAAACAGACTTTAAATCTTAAAACGTTCGAAAATTTCATCTGCATCGATTTGAGGTAGACTCGAGGATTGCAAAGTCGGGTCTAAAGGAGTTAGAAGAAGGATTAGAGTTTCCTTTTTGCAATCTTCTAGAATAGGAGCCATAGGCTTTTTTGCAGGAGGTTAAACAGATTATTATTACGCACGATAATTTTCGGCAAATTATGCCATTGTGTCAGCATTTTATTTATTAAATTATTTGCTTGTTCCCTCGTTCCCTCCTCATTGATATTTAGACTAAACATCTTTACTCTACAATTGCATGTATACGAATAAAGTAAATCTACAAAAGCTTCATCGAACTAGATGGACATTTTCTGAAGTAAATCCTTCAGTTTTAAAGCAAAGGCTACTTTTTATGAATTTTAAATAGTGGAACCTTTTCTTTTGGAGCAACACCTTTTCCTTCTAGCATATTACCTTTTCCTTCTTTTTCTTTTTGAATAAGACGTGGAGTAAATGCTTTAAGTTTTACAAGTAAAAGGAAATCCTCTTTCTTATAAATACGACCTATTTTAAAATTCCATTAGTCCACGTTATATTGATATACCTTCAACCTTCCACCTATTAGCATTGAATAACGTTTTTCGCTCAACGCTATTAGTCATTTAAAAATTAGAATATTTCACCACAGCACTGTTTGTGGATGAAAAATTACGAACGTTTTAATCTCTCCTTTCCACTACCTACTTTAAATGTTCAATCCGCTTCTGCCTTTAAAATCTCGCCGATTTAAAAATATAACATTTGTTAATAAAATCCACTTCTGTGGGGCATCAAAAATTCATATTTGTTTAAATGATTAGACATATTCCTTAAAAATTCGGATGAAGATACCATTATTGTTTTGAAACTTGAACTTTTGAACTTAGCAATAATAAAATACGAGAGATGTAGGTGTACTATAAAATAGGTATATTTGTTTTACGGATTGCGTTTTAAACACACCTATTACTTTCTATGCAGTTTGGCATTTATTCTTCCCGTGCTTGTGTGGGATCAAATCTCAAATCAAATTGGCAATTCGCATAAATTTTCGTTTGTACACAGCATAATAATTAATAGAATCATGATTTATGTAGACCGTCGATCGGGTCGATTAAGTAATAAAATTACAGACATCGAGTGCTGCAGTTCCAGAATCTGGTAACATTTTACATAAAGTAAATTAAATTTTGTCGACTACATCCCAATCGAGTGCAAAAAAGAAAGTGACCGATTTTTTGCCCTTTTACTAATACCGTATGCCAATGTACCGCATTACGGTTATTACCAACAAGGAAATATCAGTGCGCTTTTGACCTACATGTACTGCATAATCCGTGCGAACTCACTTTCGATTACGCCTCACAGTGAAAGTTGAACTTGACTTTGAATTCTTTCAGTTACATAATACCGGTAGTACAACGAGCCCCGTTTACCTACTCACGATTCATGGTCTTAAACAATTTGTACCACATACTTTTAATGTAATAAAACATTCGAACTGTGGCAATAAACGAAAAGGTTATGAGATAAACTTACGTTCGAAAATCTTCCAGTGCGCCAATATACTTCGTGAAAGCCTTATTCTTGTAAAACCTCCATATCGGCATTTTCAGTTCAACTTCGGAGACGTTCCAAAAGAAGGTGTTGATCGAATTGATAATTCGTTGCGATTCGGAATTTTCATTCAAATTTCTGTCTAGACATCCAAGGCGTGTGTCCAAGGAAACTCTTGCGACCGCTGACAAGATTTGATGGTTACCAAGCAATTGAAAGTGCGCTACACTTACATTCCAAAGCCCATTTGTAGATTTCGTACAGGAATTTATCGGGCAACTCCTTGTTCTCATCTAGGGATTCTTCCATTCTAAAAATCGAAAAGCGTAGTGTTACTGATCAAGTTGATCAAAAGGAGGTCTTACCTAAATACCTTTATATGAACAAGGAAGTGGCTCAACATTCATGATCTGTCTGATGTAATCTGAGGGCGCGTGAGATTAAACTGTTCAGACCAAATGTTACATTATATAATAGGTACAGCATATGTAACTCATTACTAAATTTGTGTCCCCGTCACGACGAATATTTCAATAAAATTATTGAAATATCATAATTAACATTTGCACAATGCATATAGTGATGTTTGATTTCATTTCGTGATGTGGAAATGCGTAACTGCTTAAACGAAAATTTCGAAAACGTGCCCGTGTCCCTATTGTTTTCGGTTGTTGAATTTCACTTTTGTTTGTCTTGAAAAAATAGTTACGTGCTTGATGTAATTCATTTGTTCCTTTCGGTCTTTGTTTGTGCAAGAAATGTAAACGTTAACGATCGCGTTTGTGCATACCTATACACTGTGTCAATAGCCTAAACAAATTAGTCAATTATGAAATACTTCCGATATTCAATAATCAGTCCAAGTACTAATTTGCCAAATGTTGCTTAAGTCATTGCACAATGCACACCATTGATTTATGAGGGAAGCACCAAAGATCTGAAAAGGGTAATAATTGTCCTCACTAAACTCTATTGTCCTATGCCAACCAACTCTTATAATATTTAATCAAATATATTCAACCAATTTACTAACACACAGAGGGAAATTTGTCGTGTCACGTTAAAAGCATATTTTCGTTCAAACATACAAAATTTAGCCATGGTATAGTAAAACAAGAGATGAATGTAATGTCCGGGGAAAGAATTAAAAACCAATTTCGAAAGAAAATTCGAAGGGCTGTAACTTTTGAACTAGTAGCTCAATCTTGGAACTGTTTTACAGGACACATTCTATAAGAAAATTTTTTTTCCGGCTCGATCTGAGACAACTTTCTTTCGGGGCTCAAAAAAAGGCAGTGTATAACCTTCCATTTATACCAAAAATCGACCACACCAAAATTTCTCGGGAAAATACTTTTTCTTATTAATTTGGGTGCGTAGAATCCAAATCAATTCGTACATTTTCGATCAGACTTCTCAATCAAAAGTTATAGACTAGAAACCAATTTCGAAAAAAAATTCAAAGGGCTGTAACTTTTGAACTAGTAGCCCAATCTTGGAACTGTTTGAAATTATGGGTTCTACAGGCCACATTCTATAAGAAAATTTTTTTCCGGGTCGATCTGAGACAATTTTTTTTTCGGGGCTCAAAAAAAAGCAGTGTATAACCTTCCTTTTTTACCAAAAATCGACTACACCAAAATTTCTCGGGAAAACACTTTTTCTTATTAATTTTTGTGCGTAGAATCCAAAACAATTCGTACTTTTTCGATCAGACTTCTCAATCAAAAGTTATAGACTAGAAACCAATTTCGAAAGAAAATTCAAAGGGCTGTAACTTTTGAACTAGTAGCCCAATCTTGGGACTGTTTGAAATTATGGATTCTACAGGCCACATTCTATAAGAAAATTGTTTTTCCGGGTCGATCTGAGACAATTTTTTTTGGGGGCTCAAAAAAAGGCAGTGTATAACCTTCCTTTTTACCAAAAATCCACTACACCAAAATTTCTCGGGAAAACACTTTTTCTTATTAATTTGGGTGCGTAGAATCCAAATCAATTCGTACTTTTTCGCTCAGACTTCTCAATCAAAGGTTATAGACTAGAAACCAATTTCGAAAGAAAATTCAAAGGGCTGTAACTTTTGAACTAGTAGCCCAATCTTGGAACTGTTTGAAATTATGGATTCTACAGGCCACATTTTATAAGAAAATTTTTTTTCCGGGTCGATCTGAGACAATTTTTTTTGCGGGCCTCAAAAAAAGGCAGTGTATAACCTTCCTTTTTTACCAAAAATCGACTACACCAAAATTTTTCGGGAAAACACTTTTTCTTATTAATTTTGGTGCGTAGAATCCAAAACAATTCGTACTTTTTCGATCAGACTTCTCAATCAAAAGTTATAGACTTAGAAACCAATTTCGAAAGAAAATTCAAAGGGCTGTAACTTTTGAACTAGTAGCCCAATCTTGGAACTGTTTGAAATTATGGATTCTACAGGCCACATTCTATAAGAAAAATTTTTTCCGGATCGATCTGAGACAATTTTTTTCAAAAAAAGGCAGTGTGTAATCTTCCTTTTTTACCAAAAATCGACTGCACTAAAATTTCTTGGGAAAACACTTTTTGTTATTAATTTTGGTGCGTAGAATCCAAAACAATTCGTACTTTTTCGATCAGACTTCTCAATCAAAAGTTATAGACTAGAAACCAATTTCGAAAAAAAATTCAAAGGGTTGTAACTTTTGAACTAGTAGCCCAATCTTGGAACTGTTTGAAATTATGGATTCTACAAGCCATATTCTATAAGAACATCTTTTTTCCGGGTCGATCCGACCCAATTTTTTCTTCGAGGCTCAAAAAAAGGCAGTGTATAACCTTCCTTTTTTACCAAAAATCGACTACACCAACATTTCTCGGGAAAACACAATTTTTTTTATTAATTTGGGGTCGATGGAACTACATTACTCCCAGGATAAGGGATCGACTCCCATCAAGTACCCACGGCACCATGGCAGAAGATCGGTTGAGTGAAGGACACCCTCTTGTCCTTGTACAGAGAAATCTCTCCAAAAGGCGAACTACAGTAAACGGCATAAGATACAGAAGACAACGGGAAACCACTGCATTAAAGATCCGTTGCTATCCCAACAGGGCCGTAGTCAGATTAGTTACTAAGAGCGGGCAAGTAAATCTACGGAGCAGGCAGGCGAAATATTAATAATTTGCTGTGTTCGTTTTTAGCGCAATCCACGAAAGTGGAGCGCTTGTGACTTCACATTTCCGTCCGTCTGCATGTCGTTCGATGACCAAGAAATGATATTTTTGGTGACCAAAATATTTTTATCCAAAGGATGTCAAAATCGTTATTTATGCATCGATTTTCTTGGGAAATTCAATTGCGCAATGCCGAAGAAGTGGTCCATGTGTATTTTTGTCAAAATCGTTATTTATGTACAGATTTTCTTGGGAAGAAGAACTTGTATCGACTTCCGGTTTTCGCTATATTAATGCTTATGGTTCCAGATGGGCAACTATCACGAATTCATTTTAATATCCATCACTTTATTGCCCAATCAATATCAATTGCTCGATGACCAAGAAGTGTGTGTATCGTATCGACATAAAAAGTTGGGGGTCATTTGCAGATCTCTCCTCGGATCTCTCTTATGCCTATACTACTGGCTGCGTCCCTGTTTCCCCCGTTAACGGTGCCAAAGAGAAAATAATTTGATTGTTACGAACATGGATTGAGAACCATCAAAGAAGGCGCTACACCTGGAAATCGCTAGGAAACCTATTTTACATTGGTAGAAAGTAGATATAAGAACCGAGTCAAAAAAGTTGGTGGGCGACCACATTCTCCTATCTGCAGAAAGTGAAATTTGAAAACGTTGAAAGAATTGGATAAGAATGGAATTGGATGTAAATGGAGAAGGAAATAAAAGCGTGGGACGGAACCAAGGACCGAAGAAAGTGTTGAGATAAAGGAAGGTGTAATAAAAATTCGCAAAGAGTGAACCTATACGACGGACTTAATAAATGCATGTGGAAATCAGATTTTTCTTCTCAACCCCATTTAGAGGTGCGCTATCCTGGGGTAGAAATGTTAGTTACTCGGAAAGAGCATTCTCAATATCCTTCTTGATATGCGTCTTATTTAATAATAATTATTACTTTGATTAGTTACGCATATGTAGTTTAATTGAGCGTGCAACGTAGAAATGGGCTAACAAAGAACCAATCAATCAATCTATCAGACACGTAGTTTAATGGAATAGAAAGTTATATTGCAAAAAAAGTAACAATACTCTTAAGTAGTCTAAGCAGCCTCACATCCCGAAAAAAATGGTATCCATTGTGATTGGCGGCCGATAGCTTGAATGAATCGTTTTTACGCGAAAGTGAATGTCACGCGATATCATTATGATATTTTACTGCAGCCTTTGGTTCAAAACGGTTTTTTGACAATTGCTAATTACGCAACGTACCTTTCTAAAAACTCCCCAGCGATAACGTTCAGCGGCTGTATGTACTTCCTTGCGGTCGAAGGCGGAAGAACAATTTGTTGAACTTGCTTCCGAAATTCGTCCCATTTGGGCCCATGTCTGAAATAAAACTGCCATGAAACGTTACGTCAGACTCATTCGCTTACATTCCGATAACTCCGGCGTTTCCGTCGAAGAAATCTTTGCGCAAAATCTCCTTGTAGTAGTGCAGCGAAGGCATGGAAGGTCTGCGCGGCATTTCCTCCTCGCCTCGGAAAACCTTCTTAATTTCGTCGCCGTCGTAAACGAATAGGAGATCTGGATGCCCGATCAGTCCGGATACCTTTACGATTTTGCCGTACGTTTCGAAGAGCGACCACATCAGTTTGTCCAAATCCGAAATCTGATATTGGCCTAAAAGTAGAATGGAGCAAGAGAGGATGTCGAAAATGCGTACCTATCACTGGAGCAAATCGCCATGTGTTACCGACAATTGGTAATGATCGTGGACCTGGAACCTCGCTGTAAGACTTGGGTATTGTTTTCTCGACCGTTTCCCGCTGGTAATCTTCTAACATCTCTGGAAGGACGACCGTTGAAAATGGACGATCTGTTGAGTAGTATCTGCGACTGATCACCTTCCATACTGCTCTTCTCGTCATTTCTCAAACTATCTGAATTTATTCTCAATAAGTTACAATAGAAAACAGTTTTACGCTTTACTTATTTTTAGTACTTCCGATCGGATATGCCATATAATCATAAAGTACTAAAATTATAGCTTCTAATGAAAGTGGGCGAATAATGCTTTTCCTTATTTGTTACAGAGAAGGTTTTAATTTAGCTTTAAACTTTCTTGTAAAAAGATCATTTTTTCCTTTTCCCACCAAAAGCATGCCACTCATCCGTGACAGTCTTCCTTCACGGCCATTGAATGTGATATAGCACGAATTTAACAAGAATAAAAAATTATAGACGCCCAGATACTTTTTTTCTGGTAAATCTACATAATTAAAATCCACCCCTTTTGTTTATGTGATAAGATACAACCCCTTTGAAATTCTTTTAGAAATCGTCGATTCTTTGCAATGCGTAAGGTATGGTTTAAAAGTTTAATGTTAGAGTTGGCATGTCATGAGGGGCTTGGGTTATTATTAATTAAGCTCGGTTTTATGCTCGTTAGATTTGATTCCAAAAGATTCTTTCTTCAATCAATCAATTAATGCTACTAATAACTAATAACAACATAAAACCAAAATGCATTTTCCCTTTTTCTCTTTAAAATTCAAGTAATCCACTTCTCACCTCCTCCCCCTCATCCACCACCCCACTCCTATTTTTCCACCTCCGTACAGTCCCATGTGTTTTATGTCCTCTTCTTCCTCTCCGCATATTTTTCTTGTCTCTATTTCTCTTTCCCTTCCTCTTCATTTCCCCATCTGACACTCTCCATTGTTTTAATAGTTTTTCTTCCTTCACTCTCTTATTTAGATCTTTATGACTATGACTTTATCGTGGGCTCTCTATCTTCACCCGCTATCTTCTTTTAATTAGATAATTTGCTTGGATTGAATTTACTTAGGACGCGTTTTTTTTGCTTTCTGATTAAAAAAGCATGGTTTTTAATTTTTGATTCTTTCAATATTATTGATCACAGATTTTATGGCAAGATATCATTGTGTTTAACATTATTTCTATTGAATAATGAAACCATAAACGGCCAAACTAGTTGTGCGATTGAGCAACATTCGAGCATCTTTAGTAATTTATGGAAATAGTCACGTAAACGAAATTAAGAAATGTATAGAAGTTTATTTCCTGTACGACCTTCACACGGCGCATACCTGAGCCTCATGTGAAAATTAAGAAACTTACACTTCGTGCCATCATTTTCCCTTTCATTTAAATGTCTGGGATGCTAATTAAAAAGAAACAACGTACAGGAAGCTTTGTACTTAGTACGTGAGCAATTATTCGGGGTGGCGATTATACATTAACATTAAATTTACTTCTTTTAATAAAAAGTTCAGCAATTATTTGTATTTTTCCCTAAGTAAATACTAAATGTGTGCCGAGAAAATGACAGTACTTAGTTATGCCTCGACTGAAAGATAAAAATTATGTTTATGTAATTATTACATGATGATTCGTGTAGAAATTAGCCAACACTCGACGCAAAATATGAAATTAAATCGAAACTTACAAAAAATGATGATGTAAAATTAATATTTTATAGTGCCAGTACCTTAGAGAGTAAGCCAACAACAATGGTGTTACAAAGAAGAGCAGTACAAAATTGCACTTGTCACTTTCACTCAACAAAACACCAAAAATTGCTAATATCTACAAGATTAAAACTACAATTTGAAACTGGCGGTACTTAAGATTACTATATGAAATTTATAAAAGAAATGGGGGAGTAGAGGGGCTAACTTATATTGCAATTTGGATTCTGAAGCCGGTGAGCACGAGCTGAGGATGTTACTAAAGCAGGTTGTCCTTTCCCTTTCGTTATTTTACCGAAGAAAAAAAAACACGGCAAGAAATGGGCTACGAAGAATTATTTCCGGGCCCACTAAACTAGTATTAGCATACATTTCGTTTATTAGGCATCTACTTCCTATCGTAATTGGGGGAATGGCGAGTTACGAAATTCGTAGTTGTTACCTTACGTAATTAATCTTCTAGCGTATAATTTTTTAACAATTGTTCTCTTTAAAATAGATTATAGTATTTAAATTGCTTTCCGTAATGAATCCTAATTGCTTTTACACGTACTTTGAGGTCAAGGATAATTCTACTTCAGGTAGCAAGACAAATTTCTCTTTCAATGCTAATGTTACATAATATACTATTGAGATTCGCGAACTTTTGGGTTCTGTGTACCACTTTCCTTTGCATTTATTTGTATGTCAGAGCGTTTATACTCGTATAAAACGGACTATTAATTTCGTGTGAATGTAACGTACATGGGTAGATACTAATTAGTACTGAGTGAGATCAATGGATTCTGGAGCCGTATTTCATGTTGTCAAACTTTGCTTACACAACATTCAACACTAAACTATTTGGTACCTACGTACCTATGCGATACCAGATCGAGATCAATTACGAGCTAAACAATTTTTTGTACTCCGTGGAATAAATCCAACGTGTCATTCGTTTAAGTGACTGGTGTCACTTTGTCTCCCGGGGGTACAAAAACGCGACACGGGACAAAAAGTGACAGTACACACTTTAATGATTAATGGTTACCTTTATATACAGTAATATTTATTAAGAAGTAGATTTACGTGTGATTTTCCCTATGCCTACTTTTAAAAGACAAAATCTCTTCTGAAGGGCGCCTAATTTTAATTAATTAATGTGACATCCAGATCCAGATCTTTATTCGTTTTAAGAAAAGGTACACTGATTCTACAATCAAACAAACTTTTTTCTTTCGAATTCGAACTTTAACATCGATACAGGAGTACAAAAATAGCGTATATACCACAGGACTGAAGTGCATTATAATCCCTCAGGAGCTTGATGCCTTCAACTGCGTTTCGGGCAACAATCTGTACCCTCGGGATTAAAACACGCACTACTATATACAATTATCGCGTTTGGTACATTAGCCGATAAAATATTTCATAACGAGCGATTATAGAAGCAAACTTCTCTAAGTCTCCCTACGAGATTCTGCACCAAAAGTTATTCTGTAGGTACTTAATTTAGACGTCAGGCGTCCAAAAGAGCAAGCTTAGGTTCTCCCGTCGTTTTCATGGAAACAATATTGTATTCTGTTTTATTTCGTGCTCCGCATCCCATAGAAATGACTGATGTCATTGGAATGTGCAATGATTAGTTTCACTTTATCATACCCTTGCCGTTAAAGTGGTCGCTGTATCTACCCTTACTGTTAAAGAGACACTTAGCCTACTCATTAACACCTATAATTAAACTGTCAATTGAACATCTCTTATAAAATAAGCGAATGAATTTGTTTTCACTCATAAAAATAAGGGTCGTATGAATAAAGGTGAGCAAATGCTTATACTTGCAAAATTCAAAGTAAATACTCGTAAGTGGCCCTTCATACTGGTCTGTTTAGCAGCGCTACACTGCGTCCTATCCTGCTAAGTCTCCCAGTGTGAAGGAGCACTTACGAGTATTTACTTTGAATTTTGCAAGTATAAGCATTTGCTCACTTTTATTCATATGGGCCAATTTCTCCGATCGGATTTGAAATACACAAACAACAAATTTCCTGATTACGTACAGTTTGACTTTAGTCCTTATTCACTTCACGCTTCAATTTCAAAGATGGGGATGATAAGTTTCTGCAGCTCATGTAATAAACATTTACTACCTCGATTAATTCGCAACTGTAACATTTAAAAGCTTAATTAACATTAAAACGTTTATCGACATTGCTATGTTCACCATTGTAGAATAGAATAAATACACAGGGTGACATGTTTTGCTTTTTATCCAGTAAATTTTATTAAGTTCTTTTTTGTTGTTCAACCACTTTGTAGATAACTTTGTTCAGAATTCGAAGCCTTTATGATACAATAATATTATCCACAATGCCTAAACAAACTAAATCAAATGTGTGGTCATGTGGATGAGTATAAAAATATTTAAGTACTGATACTTCCTTCAAGAATCAAAAATTACGTGAAGGCTACATGCACTTCCGATGTAGAAAGTTTTATGACAATCTAATTAACAAATTACACAAAGTATAATCACTTATACTGCATGGCATAAAAAATTAGCAATGAATTACACAATGTTTATTTATACTTCTACTACGACGTTTCGTACTTCAAAAAGTGCCATGAACGAACTCAATCAAGAACACTGAAAAACTGAACCATGCATTTTATTTATTCATGGGAAAAAATCGTACCCGGAAAATGTTCCAAAATGCTATTTTGCGACAAATATTTATAAATCCAATTGACGTACTAACATTATCGTACATAAAACTTATTTTCTACACTTTAAAATGTCACATCACTATAAAAGATGTTAAATTAGGAAGTTCATTCCATTCATAAATTTGCTAGGTGGGAACTACTTTACATTTCTTTAAGCCAAGTTACACCAGTTTTGAATTCCTACTTTGTTTTAAGTCAGTCAGAAATTCACCTTCGTTCCATGGCTTACTGTCCGCTAATTGGGTGTATATTTTATAATGGTCATTAAGTTATAATTTTCTGTTAAAAATTGCTAGAGGATAGAGGGGCACCAATCTAAATTTGAACATTGATTTTCTGGTTAATACGTGAATTCAAATTATAAGAAAATAATAATCACATAGAAAACCCAAAAGGCCTCTAATAAAATTATTGGTAACATTGTTAACATGTACCTATTTATGAACTTCAAATGTACATCTTAGGAATCGAGAAAATTGAAAAGGACCCATTCGGTGTAATTAAGTTGTAACTTGGAGAAAATAAAACTCATCGGATTGCGCTCTATTTGCATACTGCCTTTTATATTTCTATATTCAAGGATACCCACCTATGTACATGATAATGATATCGTGTACAGGTACATTTATCACACCTTCTCCCTTATTTGGAAACTTCCTTAACTAAATACAAATTCTTATTTACATCAAAAAGAGAACAACAAAATTTTATTTTCTAGGACGCAATTGATATCGTTCCTGTACAACTGGTTGGGATTGTACTAAATCTACGTCACTTATCACTTGCGATGACGTACTAGGTCCATTATCAACATCGACGCACACTGTCTTATCGGTGAGGTCGGGAACAACTTGTGACGTACTAGGTGACTTATCTACCTCCACTTTTACCTCTTCGTCGTTCTTGTTCCATGTTGAAACCAATAATGAATTTCTGTTATTATTATTCTTTTCAATCACTCGAATTTGGTCCGAATGTCTAATTACATTTTTCCCTGTAGATGTTTCAACATCGAGCAAGACGGACCCTCGCTTGTTGGCAATTTTCCCGAACATTCCCACGGGATGGGTAGGTGTAGTATAATCTTTAATAATGACCTTATCATCTACCTCAATAACTTTATTTCTTCCGCCAAAATTTTCTACCTGTTTGATTACCTTTTCCTCGACTGTTCTATAACGATTGGGCATAATTAAATCGAGTCGATTTTTAAGATTCCTGCCAAACATGGCTTTGGCTGGGCTAATTCCTGTACTGCTGTGTTCACTATTGCGATAATCTAGCAAAAAAACGACATAAAAAAGTATCCGGATTATGCTTTGCTTTCTCTTCTTTAAAGCTTGCTTAATTAATTTGACAGCATTTTCCGCTGCTCCATTGCTTTGTGGATGGTAAGGAGGTGTAAACAATTGCCTGATGCCATTATTTTTCAAAAACGTTTTGAAATCTGAGGATGTAAACGGTGGGCCGTTATCTGAGACTACCGAGTGTGGCAACCCTAACTGACTAAATAATTTCATCAGCTTCGAAGCAATGTTGTCAGCCGTAGTGGAATTAACCTTAATAACTTCCAACCACTTTGTGTGAGCATCTATGACAATTAAGTACTTTTGTCCATTTAGCGGACCCAAGAAATCTATATGTAACCTGGA